TTTCCCCACATAGATTTATAGAGTCCTTGGCTGCTTCTCTAGAGAGAGACAGCGACGAACCAATTGTTGCATTTGTCCTGCGAACCGGCAAAAGGGTTGGAATTGAATTGTTGGCAATTTGTTTGCAACACACCCCCCACCACCCAGGAGATGAGGCACAGGAGGTATTTTCTCTGCTGTAGATGGAAGAAAGTGGGTGAAAGGTGGGTTGCGGCAGGCAGGGGGAGGATGGATGCGGTGGCCAGGTCTTGGGGCAATTTGTTTAGTATCTTTGTTCGCATAATTGCCCGCACAATGCCATGCCACACGGAATGGAAACGGAAATGGAGAATCGAGCTTGCGCGAGTGTGAAGAGCCTTAATTAAAAAGCTTTTAAAGCCAAAGGGAGCAGGAGGGCCAGGCCCACACAGATTGGTATGACAGCGCGTCCTCTGACCCCCAATCAACCCTTTTGGCCTTCTGCACGATTTGCTATGGGTGGGGGAATGAATGATTGTGAGGGGTCGGAAGTGGCAAACGTGATTTTGGAATAAATTTCCATCATTTTGGAAGGCATTTTGTATCCTGTATCTTGGCATATATTTTAAGAGAATTCGTTGCATGAATTTTATCCGAGATTTTACCCAATTGGCAGTCTATAAAAATGCAATCTATAAAAGTATAGACAGCTCTATTTATCAATATTCCTCCCTCCCATCCTTTTAATGCGGGAAAACTTCTCCTGAAACTTCATTTAAGCCGCTTTCGATTAATGGTCGAAAAAAAGAGATTTCCCGTTCTTTTGGGTTCTGTCTGTCATTCGATTCATCACTTGTTGCCTTTTTAAGCCGAAGTAAAGCGGATAAATGTTGAGCGCCCAAAACACCACAATCGACGGACTGCGGACTAATGGCCAATTAATGGCATTTAAATGCGCTCGCGTAATGTGCCTGCCATTCGGGGGCGAAAAGCGTCGGAAAAAGAAAACTCTTGAATATTTTTGGTACATACCACAAAAACCATAAACAGAAAACGGCAACAAAAATTGGTAGGTACAGGCAGGCAGGCAGGGAGGCAGGGAGGCGAGCAGGCAGCACCGCGACAGCGACGGCCGGCGGCTTGGTCAACAGCAATCAAATGGACATAAATTTGTTGCCAAATGTCGTAAAGCCATTCCCCCATTCCCCCCATGCCCCGCCCCATACAGTACCCACCCAGAAGTAGAAGAAGATTGCTACAGGTAATTACAAAACCATAACGCGCGCCAAATGTCACCGCAAAATGTGCGGTCAATGTTTCTGGGCCATCAGGCATGGGCACCCCACCATTCGCTGCTGGCTGTGGCATCATCATCATCATCATCAGGCATTGCAAAACGATTTTCGCTTGCTTTTCCGTTGCATAATTTTTGTGCGTGTCAGTGCGGAATTTCAGTACACTTTCGCATTTGGGAATCACGAGTCCAGGTCCAGGTCCAGGTTCTGGTTCAGGTTCAAACATTTGACACGCGTGACATTAACAGCCTGGTCTGGTCATTACCAATGCCATTTCGGTTAAGGAAATTTGGTATAAGAATGGTCAAGAAATCGTTGGGAAATGTCTTTATTGAATATTTATTTTACTTGAATAAACATTTCCTTGAAAATGTTGATAAATATTTAGGCAAGAAATTCTGAAAATGATCACAAAAATTCTCTTAACAAGTGGCAACTGCTGATGGGGGGGAAATAGTGAAAGGAAAAGCTGACAAACAGTGATAAAAAGGGCTGCCAACTGCAGCTGAAAATAGGAAAACTGCTGAGGAGCTGCTGCCATTTGCTGTTTCTGACAAACAAAATTTACACGAAAGGCGGCCAACTTATCCTTCCCATTATTACATTATTTATGCATTGTAAAACCCCCTCTGGCAACTGCAGCATACTGAATGATTAATCACCTTTTAAGGGGGAGGGTTTTTTATTCCACGAAAATTGCTTTCGAGTTTATGGACAATTTGTTCGATAATTTCGCTAAGCTTTTGCCGCGCGTAATGTAGGCAACACTTTGGCCCGCGCACACAATCAACAGGCACAGGCAATACGGAAAGGAAAGCCATTCCGCCAGCATTACGTGGAGAATCGCATTTGTGGCGGGCGGCACAAGAAACAATTGGAATTGCAACTGCCACACGACACGGAATAATAGTACACGCAGCAAAGTGCGCGCGGTTAGCCGCAGAAACTGGCGAGAAGGGAAAACTCCTGTCATTACAAGTCGCCTAAAACGTTGCAACATACAACTTTTGCCACACAGAAACGCTGAAAGGACAGAAAGAGGGATAGAGAGAGAGAGAGAGAGAGACCTACATAAAACCAGTTAATAAACGTCAGTGCTGTTGCCGCACTTCAGACAGGGGAACAAGAGGGTAGGGGCAAGGAAATGCAGTGGAAAATCGTTATCATTATATACAATTCTATATAGAAGAGTGGGCAGGGGGTAAAACGAGAGGGCACTACGCGCACTACAAACCAAAAAAAAAAAAAAACCACTGAAAACTATATACGCGAACACTTTTTGCGCAAAAGTTTATTGAACCGGAAGTTGAAAGCGGCTCGGCGGTTGTGTGAAAAGCGGCAACAATGCGGCGAAAAAGCACATACAAACACACACACACACACACAAAAAATAAAGGAGCAACTTGCTGCCCTGAGGCAGCAGAACCCTGTGTCTGCAACATGTCTGTGCCACAAGAGGGAGAGCCCCCCAGAGGCGAACGAGCCGAGGCTTTGCGCTTATTTATTTTTTTTTTTTTATTTTCTTTGCCGACTGGCAATCATATTTTATCCGACATTTCAAAATCCGAATCCAAGTCCAAGTCCGAATCGAAATCCAAGTCGAAGAATGAAGATGTTGCCTCGAGATACTTTTTTCTATAACTTATTCATATGCAATGATGGGGCGAAGGGAAGGAAGAAGAGTTTCTGTCTGGGATTTCGAGGGGTTGGTACAGGGATGTACTTGGAGATTCCCGCCGCCGCCGTCGCCTGTCACTCGAAGGCATTCGCTTATTGTTTCAGAACGCCCCCCTCTTGGGTGCATGTAATTGTTGTTTAAGTGATGCAAATGAGCGTTGTATTTGTAAGAACAACAACATCATTCATCAGGCAGGACTTTGATTTGATGGACTTGAGCAATACTCCTCAATGTTAGTTTATATGAAATATAAAAGCAATAGGCATTCAATATCCAGTCAGTGCGCTCAAAAATAATTATAGTTTAATGGCGATACTTTTTTCAATGGAAAAGGGATTATTTAAATATAAGAATTATTAAATACTTATTGTTAAATACCTATTAAAATTATTATTATTAAAATAATAAAATTTAGATGGATATTTGGTAGAACAAATTAAAATGTAATTACAGCAATTTAATTTTAATTAAGTTTTATTAAAAATAGTTACGAATTTATTCCCAATAAAATTTATAAATAAAAGTTATCATCAAATTAAAATTTGTTTGTTTCCAAAATAAAAATTTTCTTTTTAAAATTTGCATCTAAAAATTCATGTAGATTAAGACACACCACTCGCTGATACGCCCTCTACCGCGCTGTCTGCTAACCTCTAAAACAAAAATTGCCTGCGGGCATTTTTCAACGAAAAGAAGCAAAAACTCCACTTCTGTTCGTTCGCTTCATTTCGTTTGAAGTGAGCAAAAAAAAAAAAGAATAAATGTTTTTTGGGGAAAGATACTCCATGACTGCTGTTGTCAGTTCTCCATGGAGTATCGGGATTTCAGGGGGTTACTGCGCCCAAGGGGGGCTCTTTTCACCCTTCGGCCTCGCTTCGCTTTGTCATTGTTAATGGGGTCAAAAATTTCGAGGCGTGATTTATGTCTGTTGTTCAAATTGTGCCTGAAATGTTGTACAATGCGCGGATCCATTGGATCGCTTTAAAGTTTATTGAAATTGATTGTCCACTGTCGTTTGGCCTGTTATCGTTTGGTTTTTGGAGTATATTAAAAATTGAAAATCATCCCCTAGAGGAAGGGGATAACCTGCCCCTGCCGCATGCCGCATGCCCCTTGACCCCACTGAAAAGGCAATTTAGTCGTGGAATACTGCAGATTGTTTCTATATAAAACACGAAATTGCAGTCGCTTGAGAGTTTGAATATTGCATGGGGGGGGAAAAAAAACAAGAGAGAGACGAAAAACATGGCAAAAACAATCTGAATCCCAGAGATTGATCAAACGGCACGTACAGACGTACCAACATCGAATGACAATGGCAAAAGTTGCTAATGAAATTCATTTGTTGACATGCCACACAGGACGAGCACTCGTCGGGGCAAGTATGAATGGTTTTGTGGCACTCTGAATGGGTGGTGGTGGGGGAATCATTTGGGAATCGTTTAACTATTTAAATTTTAAATAGTTTGAAATTCAATGTGTTAGGGCACCAGTCAATTGTCATTAGTTAGAAGCTGCTAAGAAATCGAATGCAGCATAAAAATGAATATAGAAAATACTTGAAATTTTTGAGGTTCTCAATTTGAATGCCAAATCAAGGGTATTGCTATTTTCAAATATTCAATGAATATATGAACCTTAAAACAAACCGCACAATACTCATATGATACACTATGACCCCCCCCGAACACTAACGGCAAATCCATCAATTATACAATTACCCGCAGGCTATTAAAATAGTACTAATTAGTACTATTCGTGAAATTAGTCAGAAAAGCCAGGAAATACTTCTGAAAAATATATACACGTGTCTAAATACATATATACAATACTCATGCATGTATATACAACATACACACTTAATGTGGTCAAATATGTTAGTTTTATAATAAATAATATAAGCCCACAATGAATATTATTCACTTAGTTGATAGCTTGAGATCAAGCCCATAGCTTATCATGCATGGGTTATCAGTTCCGGAAATACAATATGTACATGTATTTATGTACATATAGTGTGTCTAGTACGAATTGAAAGTGCCAATTAGTATTTATAAGTGGGCATCGGATCCATTTTCTTCAGTTTGGGTTTAAATCGACAGTACGCAAGTCAAGCGAAAATGAAAACCTCGGGCTTTATGGTAATCATCTGCTTGCTTTTGCTGGAAGGCAATGTGGCAGAGAAAGTGACTATGCTGGATCAGTGCACTGGATGTTTTTTCTCAGCTCTCCAGCCATTGCTCGGACTAGAGTTTCAAGAGGCAGCAGATGACAAAAATGTAGCAAAAGACAAAATACACTCATTAGAGTTGACCATCAGCAATTTGCAGAGCCAGTTACTAAATAGTGGGACGGAAATTAAAAACAAAGAAGAGCACATCAATGATCTCAGAGAGCAAATCCAGGGCAAAGAGGAGCAAATGAACGGAAAGGACGAACAAATCAAAGATCTTATAAAGCAAATCCAGGGCAAAGAGGAGCAAATAAACGGAAAGGACGAACAGATCAAAGATCTTAGAAAGCAAATCCAGGGCAAAGACGAGCAAATGAACGGAAAGGACGAACAGATCAAAGATCTTATAAAGCAAATCCAGGGCAAAGAGGCAAATAAACGGAAAGGACGAACAGATCAAGATCTTATAAAGCAAATCCAGGGCAAAGAAGAGCAAATAAACGGAAAGGACGAACAGATCAAAGATCTTAGAAAGCAAATCCAGGGCAAAGACGAGCAAATGAACGGAAAGGACGAACAGATCAAAGATCTTATAAAGCAAATCCAGGGCAAAGAGGAGCAAATAAACGGAAAGGACGAACAGATCAAAGATCTTATAAAGCAAATCCAGGGCAAAGAGGAGCAAATAAACGGAAAGGACGAACAGATCAAAGATCTTATAAAGCAAATCCAGGGCAAAGAGGAGCAAATAAACGGAAAGGACGAACAAATCAAAGATCTTATAAAGCAAATCCAGGGCAAAGAGGAGCAAATAAACGGAAAGGACGAACAGATCAAAGATCTTAAAAAGCAAATCCAGGGCAAAGGGGCAAATGAACGGAAAGGAGAAATGGGGAATAAACGGAAAGGACGAACAAATCAAAGATCTTAGTAAGCAAATCCAGGGCAAAGGGGAGCAAATGAACGGAAAGGACGAACAAATCAAAGATCTTATAAAGCAAATCCAGGGCAAAGAGGAGCAAATAAACGGAAAGGACGAACAAATCAAAGATCTTATAAAGCAAATCCAGGGCAAAGACGAGCAAATGAACGGAAAGGACGAACAAATCAAAGATCTTAGTAAGCAAATCCAGGGCAAAGAGGAGCAAATAAACGGAAAGGACGAACAAATCAAAGATCTTATAAAGCAAATCCAGGGCAAAGAGGAGCAAATAAACGGAAAGGACGAACAGATCAAAGCTAAGCAAATCCAGGGCAAAGGGGAGCAAATGAACGGAAAGGACGAACAAATCAAAGATCTTATAAAGCAAATCCAGGGCAAAGAGGAGCAAATGAACGGAAAGGACGAACAAATCAAAGATCTTAGTAAGCAAATCCAGGGCAAAGAGGAGCAAATGAACGGAAAGGACGAACAAATCAAAGATCTTAGTAAGCAAATCAAGGAAAAAGACGAGCAAATCTTGCTTGCCAAAATAATCGATCAGCCATCGCAAACTAATCCAACGGCGGAGAATCTTCCCGACACATGTCCCAGAGGCTGCCCAAATGGCATTTTCCAGATAAAGGTCAGGGGAATCGATCCGTTCGAAGTTCCCTGCGATACGTCCGGATGGACGGTCATTCAAAGGCGAATCGACGGCAGTGTGGACTTTAATCGAAAGTGGGAGGCCTACAAAGAGGGATTTGGAGACATGCGCGGAGAGTTCTTCATTGGGCTGGAAAAATTGCACTTGATGACCGCAGCTCAGCCTCAGGAATTGTATATAGAACTCCGAGATGTTAATGGAACTTATCGTCATGCCAGATATGACAACTTCAGTGTGGGCAGCGAAGAAGAAAACTTTATTCTCAAATCCCTGGGTGAATATTCGGGAAATGCAGGAGACTCCCTAAGGATTCACGAGGGAGCAAAGTTCGCTACTTTGGATAGGGACATTGTTCGTTGCGTTTTTCGGTACGACGGTCCGTGGTGGTTTAAGAGAGCGAATTGCGGCATAAGGTAATTATTATTTTATTAGTTTTCGAGATAACTTCTTTAATTTCAATTAATTTCCTTTATTTTTCAGTTCGTTAAACGGTATATATTACGAAGATGGTACCACCTATAAAGCAAATGGAATTTTTTGGGGCCATTGGACCATTCCGGCTGATTTCCACATTTCACTGACTTTTGTGAAAATTACTATAAGACCTAAGCGTCCGCAGACGTGAGAAATAATATATCAAAATAAGCTTAAAATCTTCGTTGGATCGAGAAAATGTAAACTCAATAAAATCGTTAATTGGTTTTCATTTAAGAAGAATTGAAAAGCCTTACCGTGTTTCGGAATGTGAAAGTCCTTAGTCGGACTTTAAGTTTTTCAGTTTCGGAGCGTCTTGCAGTCTGGCAATATCCATCGACTAATTTGTAACCTGGCTCACACTTCTTTAACGCAAACGTTGATATGACTTCGACATCTCGGCATGCAGCGGCTTGCACCTCAGCAGTTTAGGACCAAGCACCAGGGCCGAGAGGAAGGCCAACTGCAGCAGCAGCAACATTATCTCGGGAAGGGAATGATTGTATTAAAAATTTCAAACGTTCACGCATCATTGCAATGATTGGTTGGGAATAATACCGACCACTTCAATTGTTTCCGCCAAAAACAAAAAATAAATTTATCATTTTAAATTGGTAGAGACAAAGTCCTATTTATGGGCGAGTTAAATGTTTTCTTCAGGGAATTTCAAAATCCTTTTGAATTTGAATATACATTTGAAAGCCATTGGAGAAAATGTATTTAATGGGGGTTTTTTCTGGGCGTTACCATGAACCATGAATTTAAAATATTTTTAGCATTCATTTGGTAGAAAATTGCGTTTGAAATAAATAAAAGTAATAACTATGGCGATTTTATAATTTTTTTTTATTATTTTAACTTTTGTTCTGATGGAATACTCTTTCTACTCCAATGATGAAATTTCGTTGTATTATTTCCAAATATTTAGTATTAAAAATTTTCAACTGTTACATTTTTTATACATTCAAGAAAATGGCTCAATATACAAATTAATAGGTATCATTAATCTATGATATACATATGGTGCATACGATGTGTAGAATCTAGCAATATTTGTACCCAAAACTAGCAGCTTCCCAAGAGATCTTTTACTTGATAGGTAAAGCAGATCAAACAATTTTTCTAAAAATATTTTAAGTTGTAAATCATTGCCAAATACAGTTCCTACAGTACGAACTTCTCTGTAAATTAAGTTGTAAAATATCAGTCCGTTGCAAGTAATATTATTAATGTAAAACCAACTCCCCCATTCAATAATTTATAGTTCCCGGAAAATCATTAAATTTTTGGAGGAGAAAAGAGTTCAGAGAACTACGATAAAGAACACTAATGCATTTATAAATATGGCAATATACGCAAGTATCTTTATGTATAAAGATACAGATACATACATAGGACCACAACAAATGATGTCCCTTGGGGGGAAACGTACTGCACCAGCGCATGGAGTAGGAGGAGAGGAGTAGGCCCGGCCCTGTGCTTACTTATGCATATGCGACACCCATAATTATCAGAGTTTTCCACATGCAATGGGAACATTTACATTCACATTCACATACAGGACAGACCCCAGAGCGGGGAAACTGCCAACGAACCATCCATCGAAACATATGTTTTGGTTTGCAAAAAGAAGAAAAAAGACGCCACTGCACTGCCATGCGGGGGAGTACGAGTATTCCATTCCCCCGCTCTATTGGGGTTCTCGGTCTCGGTCTCAGGCCTGCTGCTGGGCCCTTAAAAAACATTGATTTTTATTGCATGCTTCGTCCGAAAAACTCTTTCGCATTGGTGTATGGTGGGGGGGAAATGCAACCCACTAATGACGTTGTTGCTGCGGCTTTTTAAATATGTGTGTGGGGGGGCCAGCAATTTATCAATATATCTCTGCCATGTGTAGTTTGGTTGGGTGCCGTCGTGCACAGACATACAAACATGACTGTAAAACACTGATATGTGCAATATTGTGCGAGTATATAGGGGAGGGGGCAAAGGCAGTGGCAGTGGCAGCAGCAGCAGCAGAACACAGGCATATTTCATACTCGAATGCCTCGCACAACTCCTGCTCCTACTCCATCTCCCTCTCTTTTCCTATTTCTCTATTCCCCATTTCGCATTTCCCCTTCTTCTTCTATACCCTCCCCCTTCAGCAACAGTAGCCAGCCCCATGGTTGCGTGCAAACGACCCCTTTGGGTGGAGTCCGCAGGGTCCCCGGGCAGCGTCGACATATGTTTTCTGTCGCCAATGCAGCGTAAAATTTACTTTTTTTATTTTTTATTTTTCATTTTTATTTGTGCTTTACAATTTTGCCTTTATTTCTGCCCTGCCATTTGTTTGGCTCCGATTTTGTGCCACCTTCACTTGGGATCTACAGCAGCCACCCCTTTCCCCCCGCTCCACCATGGAACATGTGTGTGCTTTGCCCGATTTAAATATTTCACAATCGAAACACGAAACAGTGAATGGATTTATGCTGTCGAAATCATTTATTACTAACGCTCCAAAGTGTTGTTGCTAAATTCCAAATGAAATCAATTATTCAATTATGCATTCGATTGGGTTTTGCGGGGATCGAATGTGGAGGGGAATTTGTGTTTAGTCTGTGTGTTGAATGGTGTTGCTATGTTTAAGCATAGATAGCTATAAAGTTGTTAAATGGAAGTGTGCATAGAAACAGATTTAATTGGAGAAGAGAGAATGCTAAGCCAAAGAAAAGATACAAATAACGCTCCTAAAAGAGCACTACTCGAAGGGAATCCATATCCATTGTTTGCTCCCCTGAAATGTAATCTGTAAGCAGTCTTTACTCCAGCCTTTGACATGTGACACGTCGACGACATCGTCCAGTGGCCTTAATGCAGTCATAAAATTGCGTATAAAATCAAACGACTAACGAGATCCACCTCTGCCCCATCCTCTCCCATCCCATCCCTTGGCTGCCACTGGAAAACACCTTTATGTACTTTTTTTTTATTACCTGAACAGCAGACAACGTCTAGACGGGGGCGGGGTGTAACGAAGCAGGACACATGACACACAGGATGCTGCTGTGAGGGAAACTTAAAAGAAATGTTTGGCTGCTGCCTCAAACTACATCTCTCGTATTCGTCGTAATCTTGGGGCCTCGTTCCGGGGCCGATCCAATGACATTTTACGACCAGTTTCCGTAAACCCTTTATGTAAATTAAAACAAAATGCGCATCAAGAGAGGAGCCAAGGCAACGAACCTCTCGAGGGACACTCTTAAGCTTGGCCACTGGACTTTTAGACTTTAAGGAAATACAGAAGAAAAAAAAACAAAACAAATAAATAAAATTGAACCCCGAATAAGCCGTAAAGCCTAAAGCCGGCCCAGAGAGAGAGAGAGAGAGAGGCTCTGCCTCTCATATTGTTTCTCGTATTGAGTGGCATCAAAAAGTTGGTTTTTTGGGAGCTCTTTTCTTATGAGGGGGGGTTTTTCCCCGTCCCACTGCAAGAGTTCAAAAGGCCAAAGCTACAAGTGGCTTAGGGGAATACTTAGAGGGGTTGCAATTCTCATTTGGGGTTGAAGTTGAAATTGAAATCGCCCCTTCACTTGTACGTAAATCCAATTCCCCTTCTTAGGCTTACCTCCTTCACCTTTAACCTTTCTCCTGCTGCCTTCTCTTCCTTCTCTCTGGATTTCTGATCCTTCTCTCTCCTGCTGCTGCTTACGTGTGCAAATGCATTAATAATGATGTGTGTGCACCACGCACGTTACGCCTGTGGGGCAGGGCCATGGCACTGCACGGTAATGCGTCACGTGTGCCCCAAGGAGCAGATGGAGCAGGTGGTGCTCTCGTACTTGTGGGGTTATCCATCCATCCATCCATCCATCAGTCCTTCCCCTAGTAAAAACCTGAAAAATAATGCGAATTCTGTTATAAATTATTAAAATATTTCTGCTCTATACCCTGTAATTTTTGGGGATATTATTTTTAAGGTAATTTATTGGAATGATGGGAGAAATTATACCCCGAAAATTATATGATTATGATTTATGACAATTTTATTAATGGGGATATTGGAAAGATTTTAATATGAATTTTTTAAACTTAAATTAGTCCAAAAACTAGTGTGGAAAACGGAAATCCATGTTTATATTTTCCTCGCAATATACTCCAAAATGTTCCCCATTCTATAGGATAACTGCCTGTCGTATTTGCTCTCAAAAAGTCTCCCATTTCATGTCGTGGGTTTATGGTCAAGTCCTTGCCACACCAGCAGCATCACAGCACACACAAAGGTGTGGCATGCTACCTTTAGTTGCCATAATTCAGGCTGCTTTAAAAAGTAGTTTCCACTAAAGAGAGAGCTTCCCTGCTCAGCTTCCCTGCTCTCCTCTTTGCGTGTCTAGACACGTCTATACGTCTGTCTTCCCCCTAGTTTTAGCTCTTCCTGCTTCCCTCAGCTTTGGCTTTTCCATGCGTCCATGTGTCTGCTTTTCCTTATTTACAGTTACAGGTGTGTGATGTGGTCCGTCGTCCCGCATATAGTGGGTGTGTGTGTGTGTGTGTTCTGCCTCTTGTGGGGCTTCCAAAGCCACCCCCGTGTACCTGCTGCCTGCTGCTCCCCAGAAAACACGCAAAATACGCAATAAATTCAATTAATTGTCTAAAGCTTCTTATTTCAGCAAATTTGTTGCATGATGCGTACGGGGTGGAGGGAACTTTTGGGGGCTGTGAAAGGGAGAGAACTGGTAACTTCCCATCCCACCTTTTGGGGTCAATGCGAGAACTCCACAGAGAAGTGTACTACGGCTCTGCCTCGGGGTCGTTGCGGGGCGAGGCGTCTGGTCTGCCTTTTGTTTTTATGGTTGCGTACCAATCTCATTTTATGCTCCTCTGGCAGCATTCCTAAGCAGACGGCTAATTTAATGAAAAGGTGGAAAAGTAGAAAATTGCATTTGCCCGGGTCTCAGGTTCGTTCTCTCTGCCACTAAAGTGGCTTAAAAAATTGTAAAAGTGTGGAGTTTCTGTGTGTGTGTTTTTCACTTAAGGAAACTTTCAAATAGAAGAGAAGTTTTTTACGCTTGGCGTTGGAGCTATTTTTAGTGTTGGACAGCGATGGACAGTGTTGCAAATGCAAAGAGTGGCATTTGAATTGGCAAAATGTGTGTGTGTTGAGTGTTGGAAATAGTATCAAAAATTAAGTTTGAGTTTAGAGGCCAAAAATAAAAGAAATTAGTGAACAAAGCTATTTA